CTCTCGCTCTCTCTCTCTCTCTCTCTCTGTCTCTCTCTCTCTCTCTCGCTCTCTCTCTCTCAGGTTGGGCCGTGTGAGCATGAGTGTGGCTGCTGAAGGCTCTGGCAGTGGCGTTCAGGCCCGCGCTGTGGAGGTGTGCCAGTGTCCTCCCGGATATGATGGCACTTCCTGTGAGGTAAGCAAGACAAACAGTTACAAATAACAAAGTAGAAATGAACAGGAGACACTCTGATGACTGACACAGAAGAAGTTAGACCCTTCTCTGAAAGCTGATAATGATTGTAGGTAAAGCTCAGACCGTGACTTCGTTATCCTCAGGAAGAGCTGAGAAAGTCTGAAAAGAAATCTTTTTGTGGAACACAAAGAGAAATGTGAAGAATATTCAGAAGGCCGAAAAAGAGACTGTTTGATCACCATGTAAAATAAACATGGGTTTATTTGAAATGAAGTCATTAGAGCACTGCAGTAGTTTTGTAGGTCAACCTGTACGTCCACAAAAACCCAATAGGACTGTTCCATTGGCTTTTGAATCAATGCAGAAAATAAGCTCTTTCACCAACACAAGTTTATGATTCTTACAGGTGTTGCTCATAATGATAATCTTCACAAATCAACATAACTTTTATGAATTTTGAAGCCTATATGCAATCGTCAGAAGTAAAAAGCTAAGCATAGGGTATAAACAAACTACACTGCGGTCACATGACTTCAACATCAGCGTTAAGCTTTAACAACTCTTTCTATTTTCCCTGACAGTTAAAATAGTTTTCAAGAGTGTGATTATAAACACAGCAAGGCTAGATGAGTTTTCTTGTTCGGTGTGATGTTTAATGTCTCCGACAAGCTCTGTAGTGCCATTTAGGCACTTGTTATCAACCGCATTTTTCAAGACAAGTAAAAGCTTTAAAAAATCACAAGGTGATCGTATTAGCTGATGTATTTTATGTTGTAGAATAAAACGTGAAAATATCTTGAGCTTGCGTTCACCACAGACCTTATTTCAGCCAAAAACCCATTGACTTCAGCACTACAGTCCAACTCATTTCCAGGTTTTGGCCGTCATAATACGTCATACAGCACTCTACTAGCAAAAAAAAATGTGTTTTAAATTTTTTGTTCATCCTAAGCGAAAATGGGTTATTTCACAGATATAAATGGAGTGGAATATAATGAACGGTCCAGTTCTGTCACTGGATTACGAGTTTATCTGCTGCTAACAGCCTCAAACGGGACTCTGTCTTCAAGGGTTCCACCTGGTACTGGTAAATCCAGACACTGTTGTTCCCCAGAGGTGTTTATCATAGCCGCTCAGTGTGTTTTAAACAGCATCCCAGTGGACTGTCTGACATACCTACTGTCAGATGCTCCTCATGCACCTCCGAGACAAACCCTGATCAAATTGTATTAGCAGTGGGCTGAATATCTAGTTTGTTTCAGGGCCT